CTGGCTGGCTGCAGATGTGTACAAAAGACGTAGGTGGAACATTGTTTTGCTGCATTGCTTGGCGTCGATAGCGCGTAAACCAACAACCTTGACCGCGTTGCCCTCACCTGCCCGCAACACCATCACAACCCCAGCCCCAGCCGCCATAGCCAACGCCGCATGGACTATGAGCGCACCGTATTGAGGATCCGTTTTCTGTCGTCGCTGTCGCCAAGCAAGCATGTCAGCACCCCCAGGCGTCAATGCCCAACTGCGCCAGCTCGTACACTACCACCTGGACAACGGCTTCACTGAAAACGCTCTGTTCCTTGCCGGCCGCCTGCACGCCCTCGATCCCCGCAGCCCGGACGCCGCCCACCTACTTGCCCTTTGTAACATCCGTCTGGGACGATACAAGCAGGCGTTAGACGATGCGCGGTCAAAGAATGCCCATACACAACATCTGGGATGCGCCTACATCTTCGCCCAAGCCTGTCTCGCCCTCGGTCGCTATGAGCAGGGAGCCCAGGCCTTGGAGAAGGTGCGCGGCCTGTGGGCAGGACGCAACCACTGGAGTAAGGAGTTACAGTAGTCGTCGCCAGTGCCCTTCACTAACAACATCCCAGACAAGCATTCCGAGACATCGAGACGACATGTGCCCGACGCCGCCGCCTGCTACTGCATGCTGGGGAAGCTGTACGCAGCACACGGCGACTCCAAAAAGGCCATTGATTATTTTGTCGACGCGCTCAAGATCAACTCTTTCATGTGGGACGCCTTTACCGGCCTCTGCGATATTGGCGCCGTCGTCCGCCCCCACAACGTTTTCAAGATCACGCCCGATATGCTTCCTCCCGTTTCTGCCTCGAACAGCTTCCAGTCCAGGTTGAACGGCCGCAGCGCACAGCCCAACTCCTACCAAGATTCCGAAAACCCCTTTGGCAACGGCCAGAACATCCGCGATGATCATGCTATGATGGGAGAGGCTGGCGGTCCAGTTCAGTCGCGCCCCATCACGTCGAGAGCCCGCACCAAGACAAACCCCGAGGTCGACCAAACGGATATCCCGCGGCCTGTGTACCAGAACGGCCATAAGAGAACCGTGTCTGGTCATTCTCTGCAGCAACCGCAGCCGCAATCGCAATCCCACCCACAGCCTCCATCACAATCCCACCCACAATCTCAACCTCAGTCACAACCGTTCGATCCGACGGCAGCGCCCCCACGACGCAGTGTACGGCTGTTGAACTCCATTACTCAGATTCGGCCCACCCGGCCAGGAACTACATCAAGCAGAGAAACCAGGGAAATGGAGTCGAAAGAGCGACGTGAATTGCGGAAAGCCAGAGCAGCGGCTCCTAAGCCCCGCTCAACGACTGGCTCGACTGTAGGCAGGGTTGTTAGTGGCAACAGGAAACCGCAGGTCGATACTTCCGAGCCCTCAAAGCCGCAGAGCAGGCCGACAAGCATGATCGATACAGCTGTTGCGCCGCCGCCGAAGATGGCCGCTCCGCCCATAGACACTTCTCGCGATAAGGAGCGGGAACGGGACGCCTTGACCTGGCTGCTTGATCTCCTCCTCAAGATAGGTTCTGGCTACCGCCACCTCAGTCGCTATGACGCAACAAAGGCACTGGAAGCATTTGGAGTCGTGCCCAAACCACAACGGGAGACGCCTTGGGTCCTGGCGCAGATCGGCAAGGCTCACTACGAGCGAACTCATTACGCAGAGGCAGCCAGCACGTTTCGAAAGATCCGAGAAATGGTTCCAGCCTCTTCAGAGCACATGGAAGTATATTCCAACACGCTCTGGCAGCTCAGGGACGAGGTGGCCCTGGGTCATCTTGCGCACACGCTGATGGACCAAGACCGCCTTTCCCCACAGGCTTGGTGTGCACTGGGCAACGCGAGTTCCATAAACGGGCAACATGATGAGGCTGTCAAGTGCTTCTCTCGAGCTACTCAACTGGATCCAAAGTTTGCCTATGCTTTCACCCTTCAAGGTCATGAGCATGTTGCGAATGAAGAGTTTGACAAGGCAATGGCGGCCTATCGAAACGCAATCAGCGCGGACAACAGGCACTACAACGGCTGGTATGGTCTTGGAAATGTTTACGAGCGTCTGGGCAAGTATGAAGTGGCTGAGAAGCACTATCGGGCGGCAGCGGAGATCAATCAGAACAACGCCATGCTGCTTGTTCGAGTAGGATTGGTAAGCCTTCTGCTCTGCCTGTTTGTCTGTCGGAAACTAACAATGTTGTGCAGGTCCTGGATCGCATGAAGAAGACCGAGCCCGCGTTGTTGCAATTCGAAAACGCAATCAAGATCGAGCCGCGTTCCGTCATGGCACGTTTCCGCAAATCCCAGGTTCTACTCAAGTTGAATGCGCCACAAGAGGCTCTACACGAGCTGCTTTATCTTAAAGATGCTGCACCAGACGACCCGAACATCCACTTCCTGCTTGGTAGGTGTTACAAGAAACTGCGAGACCGTGCGAGCGCGATCCGACACCTTACGATTGCTATGAACTTGGACCCGAAGAGTCACGGAGTCATCAAAGAGGTCATGGAGAGTATAGATCAGGAAGATGATGGCGGTTGGAGCAGTGAGGATGAAAACTAATGTCCTTCTCTCCTTTGATCGAAACCCTTTTACGAACTGTACCCGAAATGACTCTTATCTCTACGACGCCCATCATCCTCATCCTCGTCTTTTAGCGCATACCCTTTGGTTTCTACATGTACTTTTTTTCTTCTATACCCATCATCATGGACTCTTGCATCGTGGGCGCATTGGGAGGTACGAACAGCAAAATTATGCATTTTGGGTGGCGTTTTGGAGAGACTGACGACTTGGACGCTGCCTAATTGGGTGAGCGTGGAGATTGCATTTGTGTAGTTTTGAACGAAAGCGACCACGATGATCATACCCTGGATGACCGTTGCTGTTTTCGGTAATCACCGTCTAGCCTTCTTAGAGCCGAAACACGATTTGCGTACTGTACTATATATCAAAATGCACTGGGATATTTTTACCTCTACATGCTGTTTCATCGCTCGTGTCTTTTCTGGTACTCACGTACAATCGTTTGCTCTTCTCACTTTAGCACAGCGACCAATCGCCCTCCGCTGACCTCCCTCCTCCTCATTCGATCAAGACCCGCGTTAATGCCTTCCAACCCATCAACCGTATCCACAACATCCGGTGGTACCAACAAGCCCTTGGCTAGTAACCGCTCACACCACGCACTGAGCGCTTCACCCACTTGCGGAACCTCGTGATATAGCTTGATAGGAACGCTGTGTAGCACGACTCCTTTGGGTGCATCTCCTTTTGGCAGACCAGTCAAACCCACGAGATGAGATTTCTGGCCTCCGGAAGAAGCATCAAAGGGTGTAGACGGAGGGGTGGGTAGTTTACTATCCCGTCGCTCAGAAGCTTTTGTACCATTTGTTGATTCCACCTCTGCAAGAGATGATGGTGACGACTGTGGTGCAGGTGTTGCAAGAGCGTCGAGCAGATGCCTCGCTGTATCCTTGCCCATGGTATCGAATCCAAAACGTGCGCCTCCTTTGCCAGCGTTTGCTTTGATGACTTGAATCGCTCTTTGTGGGTCGTATGAGTCGACAACTAGATCTGGTACGATGGCTTTGGTCGAAGACAGCCTAGATCCATGTTTCGCTGCATCAACGACCGAGATGATCTTGATACCTGCAAGACGCGCTATTTGCGTCGTGATGTTCGCACAGACTGAGCTTGCGCCCCAGATAACTAGGTAGTCTCCAGCCCCAACACGTTCTTTCAGAGTAATGCCGTGCAGGCACTCTTGTTGTATATCAGTTGGGAGACTACTGGAATCGAGGTTGCGTACAATATTGAGAAGATCAGGTCCGGATTCTATAACGGAAAAGTCGAGGCCCATGCATATGCCTAGTGTGAGAGCGGCGGATACAAAGGCTACGCCTAGTATACTGCCTGAGTTGAGAGATATGGCTGGAGGAAGACGGATGGTGTTGAAGGAGGATGCGACGCTGTATTCTTGGAATGCGGCTTTGCGTAGGTCGCGGTAGTCTGTTGAGGGGATGAGGACGAGGTCTCCGATTTTGATAGGGCGAGATGGTGATGAGGTGGAAGGGATTTGGACTACTGTGCCGGCATATTCGCGGCCGGATATGTATGGTAAGGTAGGGATACCGAAGTTGTAGTCACTGGTGGCTTGTTAATGGAGATAGGAATAAGATGCAAGGTTTGTGCTACGTACGGCGCCTTCCAGTCAATTGGGTTGAGTCCTACTGCTTGCACTTTAACCAACAGTTCGGAATCTTGTTGGATCGTCGGAAGAGGGTGGTCAGTAGCGACATCGTATGGTTGACGTATCGCATGGAGCTTTAATGCTGACTGTACTACAGGCAAGTTATCATTTCCCTCTCTTTGCCGGACTTCGTCAAGTGTTTTCCGTCTTTTCAATACGGTATCTGTTGGAAGCACTCCTGTAGTGCTGCATGCTCGCTTGGTCCGCAACTTCATTGTGTCTTAGTAACTTGAGTCAATTAGAGGTGACGACCTTGGTTTTGATGACAGGTGAGTGCAAGACGGAGCAGAGCTGCCTTGGATGCAGATGCTCGACGTGATTTCCTACCTCCAACTTTCCAATCTCCAACTCGCCGACCTCCAACTCCCGGATTTCCAAGTTTGCACCTTCCGGGAATATGCGCGTCGATCTTCCAAATGGGCTAGAAAACCTCCATTACTCCGCGCTTATTGTGTAAGGCGGAGCAATGCCAGTCGCCATTGTGGGTTCGGATGGCACAATACAAGTGGTCGGCAAGTTCCCAGGTCTACCGCCCCAACATACCGTAGCGTACTGTAGTCGTGCGGAGCATAGACAGAAGGCCCTACATCGGAGATAAATATGTAGTGAGTATAGTACTTCGGGTATGGTATGATGACATCCCGCAGATAAGCGATCACGTTTGAAATCGTTCAAAGCACATCATCGCCTCTCAGAACCACGACACTTCTTCCGCACGACGCCATTCGATGCAACGCGAAGACACAACCTATAGCGACAATGGCAAAAAGAGTTCGAGAAAATGGCAATGGGGATGCGAAAAACGCAAAGCCGAAGATTGGTGTGGGCAAGAAGCTAATCATCAATGCCTTCGTTGAGATGTGTGAGTCCACGTGACAACCCCTCAAGAAGCCAATAGTCCTGTGTCAATAGCAGTTCAATTGGTTAAACCTCGTCACTGGCTGACAAGTAATCTCGAATAGGTAGTGGCCATCAGTCGCCAGGCTTGTGGAGACATCCTGACGATCATTCGCATGAGTTCAACGATGTCGAGCACTGGGTAGAGCTTGCGAAGCTGCTCGAGAAAGCCAAAATCCATGGCATCTTTGTGGCCGACGTGCTTGGTGGATATGATGTTTACAACGGCAATCTTGATGCTGCAAAAATATCAGGAGCACAATGGCCAGTCAACGAGCCTTTGGCTGTTGTAAGCGCAATGGCTGCAGTGACCAAGAGCATTGGATTCGGTGTGACTGTTTCGACAACATATGAACAGCCATATCATCTTGCTCGGAGGCTATCGACTATCGATCATCTTTCCAAGGGGAGGTAAGACAATCACGATTCCGGTCCTCTCCAGGAACTGACATTGTCTAGACTCGGTTGGAATGTAAGGAAAACTTGCTTTCTGGGCGAGTTCATAATTGACAGTGCTTACAGATCGTGACAAGCTATCTTGACTCCGCCGCACGTAATATGGGTATGAGAGAGCAATTACCGGTTGGTACCGTAGCTCGATTCGAAACATGCTGCTGACAATACTCAGCACGACGAGCGCTACGCCCAGGCTGAGGAATACGTAAAAGTCATGTACAAGCTCCTGGAATCATCTTGGAGAGATGATGCAGTTGTTTTGGATCGGAAGAAGGGCGTATATACGGTGCCTGATCGAGTGCGCGAGATCAACCACGAAGGGAAGTATTTCAGTGTGCCCGGTCCTCATATTTGCCAACCTAGCCCACAACGCACACCTCTGATTCTCCAGGCGGGTGCATCGAAAGCAGGTAAGAGCTTTGCAGCTCAGAATGCAGAAGCAATCTTTGTTTCCGCTCATGCGCCGGAGGTCTGTGCAAAGAATGTCGCAGAGATCCGACAGATTGCTTCATCACAATTCGGTCGGGATGGAAAGAACATCAAATTCCTTGCTCTTGTAACTCCTATCATCGGTCGCACCGAAGAAGAGGCCCAGGCCAAGCTTGCAGATTATCGAAAATATGCGTCTTTGGACGGTGCGCTGGCGCTGTTTTGTGGTTGGACTGGGATTGACCTTGGGAAGTATGGAGACGACGAGGAACTGCGACACGTGGAGAGCAATGCTGTGCGGTCTACTGTTGAGGGCTATGCTCGCTTTTCCCCTGGAACCTCGAAATGGACGAAACACACAGTTGCGGAACACGTGAGCATCGGCGGAAATGGACCTATTCTTGTTGGTACACCATCGCAGGTGGCAGATGGACTGCAAATTTGGATTGACGAAGCTGACATCGACGGTTTCAACGTGGTGAGTTATGTCCGATTCCCATGTCATAATTGATACTGATGGACACAGGCGTACGCGCTCTTCCCACAGTCCTTCAAGGACGTCATTGAGTTGTTACTTCCAGAGCTCAAAAAGCGGGGGTTATTCTGGGATGACTACGCTGTGCCCGGTGGCACTTATCGGGAAAATTTCTACGCGAAGAAGGGACAGAAGGGACCGCTCGAAGAGCACGTGGCATCGACGTATCGCTGGAAAGCTGGAGTTGATGCTAAAGACCATATTATTCCACAGTAAAAGTCCAATGCCATCTACACATCGTATCCATGTAAAGGTTCCAAAAAAAAAAAGAAGAGTTCTGTCAGAAGTTCTCTAGTTTCGTGTCAATAAGTACTGCACACCACAGATATACGCGACAGCTTTGGAACATGTGTCACAACACACCATAATCTTGGGAGATGTCTTGCGCTCGGAACAAATGCCGCGGAAGCTGTATAGTCTTGGACCCACCTCAGTTTTCTTAGCTGCTACTCCAATTCCAAGGGCGGGATGTAGCGTCAACGCAGGGGAGCGATCACGACATCCATGGCGATTGACACGGCGCGATTCCGACAACGAGTGGAGAAAAGACGTGCTTACACTTCCACACGACCGGCTCTGCGGGACTGGAACAGATAGCGGATCTAATGGCGTCTTACGGCTTCGGGGCTCATCAGAAGACTTAGCGATAACGAGACAGCTTACATCAGGGCTTTAAAGTCGCCATGCGGAGAAAACTTTGTGTAGTGAGAGAGTATCATTACAGAAGAGGCGAAGAACACATCCCGCAGATTACATGATGGCGCCAAGCCCTGTCTTACCCAACTCGGTCAAGCCAACCCCTGCTGGGTCGGAATCAACACCATCGCGACGCGTAGCACAGCTTACGGAACACCTCGTGCCATCAGGAAGCATTGAACAGGCTGGAGATCAGACTGCCACGCCAACCCCATATCCATCTTCAGAGTTGAAGTTGGATCCGACCCGCTGCATCGATCATATAAGAAAGGTCAGGGTCGCAGTCATCGGTGCCGGCATATCTGGTATCAACGCTGGCATCCTTTTGCCTGCCAAAGTACCCGGCATTGAATTGACCATTTTCGAGAAAAACAACGATGTCGTAAGTGTATTGCGACACTCATCTCATGAGTGAACTAACGACATACAGAGCGGCACGTGGCTTGAAAATGTATATCCCGGCGTGCGATGTGACATTCCCGCCCATGTATACCAAGCGACATACTCACCCAATACTCAGTGGTCTGAAATCTTTGCACGAGGTGCCGAGATTCGCGACTATTGGCAGGCACAGGCTAGAAAACACGACGTCTACAAGTACGTCAAGCTTCAGCATCGCGTTGACGAAGCAGAATGGGATGATACGCATTCCAATTGGCGGGTGATAGTACACAATCTCAAAGATGGGACCACAGCAGCGCACAGTTTTGATTTCGTCATCACCGCCATTGGCCGATTTAACCAGTGGAAGTTGCCCAATTATCCGGGCCTGAACGACTACCAAGGCCATTTGAGGCACACATCGAACTGGGATGTCTCCTTTGATCCGACAGATAAGAAAGTCGCTGTCATCGGAAATGGAGCAAGTGGTATACAGGTCGTGCCGAATCTGCAGCCCGTTGCAAAACACGTCACTCACTTCGTTCGCAACCCAACGTGGATCGCAACATCGTGGGCAGGCGACGAGCGAACTTTCGAACCTCAGCCATACACCGAGGAGCAGCGCAAAGCTTTGGAAGATCCCGAGACATATTTAGCCTTCCGGAAAGATATGGAAGATAGATACTGGAGACGATTTCGAGCCATGATCCGTGGGACAACTGAGAACCAAGGCATGCGGGAGCAATTCATTGAAGTTATGAAAAAGCGGGTAGCGAAGAAGCCCGAATTGCTTGACGGATTAATACCAGATTTCGCACCCCACTGTAGGCGACTCACACCAGGCCCTGGCTACTTGGAGTCTCTCACCGAAGACAATGTGGAGCTTGTCAAGACATCCATCAAGCGTTTCACATCTGGAGGTATCGAAACGGTCGATGGCAGGACATTCGATTTTGACGCGATATTCTGCGCGACCGGTGCCAACACCGACCTCGTTCCACCATTCTCGATCAAGGCGCGAGGGATAGATCTACATGAAGCCTGGAAGCCTGGAGGTAAATGGGGATTCCCATATACATATTTTGGTCTGGCTGCGCCTGGTTTCCCCAATTTATTCTTCCTAGCTGGACCGCACGCTACTGGTCCTTCGGGTACAGTACCGCATGGCGTGGAGACTTCGCTCGCATACTTCGCGCAAGTTTTTCGCAAGGTTTCTTCGCAAGGTTACAAGTCTATAGTGCCATCTAAGGAGGCGACAGACGACTTTGTCGACTATAGTGATGCTTTCTTCCCAACTACAGTCTTGACTGATAACTGCTCGTCTTGGAATAACGGTGGAGTTCCTGGACAGCGCATCCATGGCTTGTGGCCTGGTTCAGCTGCGCATTTCACCATTGCCAGACGAGAGCCACGTTGGGAAGACTTCGAGTTCGAACGTGAACATAAGGGCAATCGCTTTGCCTACTTTGGCAATGGTTACACTGAAGCAGAGCTAGATGATTCGACTGACTTGACCTCATATCTTAGGGCTCCTGGCCAAGAAGTAGATCTTAGAGATTTGCATGAACGCTGGTGGGATGTTCCAGGTGCAGAAAAGAAGCCATAGATACTCGTCCCAAATCTTAAATCAATTGAGTTTGTATCTGCTCATCTTGAGATACCCTGCTCGCGCAATAACTCGATAAGAAAGCTCCTTGGCCCACTAGCTCTCCAAACGATGATCGTATCTGTGTCAGGAATGACAGCATCGGGTTCTCAACACAGCCTACGCTATCTGTCGCTACAGGACACACTCGTCTCCATTGCTGAATCTGTTGCTTATGGCTCACAATTCTGGAAGCCGATTGCGTGATCCTGCTATTGTTCTTATCAGGTTTCTACGCCTGTCAACTAGGCCTTACTTCGCGCTTATGCACCAGTTCCCCACTGTTGGAGCAGTTGTCCCGCAACGCATCGTCAAGTAGCTCCAAGATTGCGTGCTATCCTACCATCATGCCGCTATACGCCATGTCCGAAGTAAGACCGGGATAGCATGCGATGGTGCTTCTCGTTGGGTCTGGAGCCTATCTCAACGGCCTAGCATGATGTTTTGGGAATTCTGGGACGCGGCTCACCAGGATTTCCGTCTGTTTGGGTTCGGGTCTTTTTGCGTGCAGGGTATACGCACATGGGTAGTTGTACTAATGCAACAGAGTACGAGATAATGTCGTGCCGTGTAGTCGGTATATCTATACATCGCTTGGTAGACACATACATTGGAAAGAGCCGTAGATTTTATTCGTTCAGAATTATCGTATTACAGCAGCAACGAGTATGGCAAACTCAGAGAACTTCATCGAGTATGGCAGCGATGAAGGAGTCGAAAAGCGAGACTACCCAGGTGAGCTTTCAGAAAGCCAGGCACGCCGACATCACCAACTCACTAAAACCAGTCAAGTGGTATCGGTCTACTTTCTTCAACATGACCATTCTTGGACTTTGCAACTTCAGTGCACCAGGTATTTGGGGAGCCATGAATAGTCTTGGTGCGGGTGGAGCGCAATCGCCACACCTTGTCAACGCAGGCAATGCGCTCACATTCTGTCTTATGGTTGTAAGCTGCTATTTTAGTAGTGTGATGGTGCATTACATCGGTATCAAAGGAGCACTGATATTCGGAACGTAAGTAGAGACACCTTATGGGTGAGCAATAATTCTGATATCAGCAACAGCATCGGCTACGCTCCCTACGCGGCAGCACTTTACACGAACAACCGTTTCGGAACCGAGTGGTTTATATATCTTGGTTCCTCACTCTGCGGCATCTCAGCAGGTGTCTTTTGGATGGCTGAAGCTGCGATCGCTATTGCATACCCGGAGCCTTGGAATAAAGGAAAAGCACTTGGCTATTGGCTCACATACCGTCTTGCTGGCCAGATACTTGGAGGGGCTATCAATCTTGGCCTCAATGCTGATCGCGATCAAGCCGGCAAAGTTACGTACACAGTGTACTTGATCTTCATCGCTTTGCAGTGCATTGGTCCGGTAGTAGGGCTATTCTTGAATCGTCCCAGTCAGGTTCAGAGAAAGGATGGCAAGAAAGTGAGCCTCGCAATCTTGGAGAATCCTTGGTTTGAGATCAAGGAAACTGGCAGACTCTTCTTCACCAAGCGCTTCTTGCTCATCCTCCTTTGGATCGGCCAAGCTGTCTTTTCTGAAGCAGTATTCTTCACTTATCTCGCCTGTAAGTCACGTTGTATATCATCAGGAAGTATCAAGGCCGTTCGTCACTGACTCGCGAACAGTATGGTTCTCCGTCCGTGCCCGCGCCCTCGGATCTTTGCTTTCCGGCATCATTGCGGTGACGACAGGAAACATACTTGGCCAGTACCTCGACCGCACCAAAATACCCCTGCGAACTCGTGCACGTAGTACCTTTTGGGTCATCGTCGTTTTGCAAGGCGCCTGGTGGCTCTGGGCCACAGTGCTCGTCACTGAGTTCCGCGATTCGAAACCAACATACGACTGGCTCTCGCCTGGCTTCGGCCGCGCTTTTGCCGTCTTCATATTCTTGACTGCGGGTTTCCAGATGAACTACCTCTTCCTATACTTCATGATAGGCCAGATAGCGGTAGACGAACCCGAAGTCATTCGCTATGCCGCTTTGTTGAGAGGAACCGAGAGCGCCTGGCAAGCTGTTAGTTACGGAATCACGAGTGTGACGGTGTTTGCTGAGGTTGGGGCTGTGTACTGGAACTTCGCGCTATGGGGTGTGGCGGTCTTGCCAGCATGGTTGGTCATAAAGGAGTTTGGCACTGGAAAGGTATCAAGGACGCAGGCTGTCGAGAGCGGGTCAGAGAGCTACGATCAGCACGAGGTGGAAGAGCCTACGAAAGGTGCATTGAGTTGATGGCCGTATTGAGTATACTAAGACATGTCAGGCTGGCTGGAGACGAAGATGGGAATTGTAGCCCTTTCGTCACTCGAGGAAAGAAGAATAAACATCGAGTTCCCAGCTTTATGCTTTCCGTAAACGAGGAGTTGTAAAGTTTCGCCCGGCGAGTGACGGTGAGTCCTCATACTTGTAGCACAGCACACCTCCACCCTCTCGGTTTATTGTGTCCAGAATTGCACCAACCTTGACATCGTCTCCAACAAAGCCCATCCACACCGGCGTGTCTACTGTAGTCTGCTCAACAGCATCGCGACCAGGGCCTAAGCCCTCCATGGTTCTTGGGCCGCTGATATCAGCCAGGCGGGCAGGATCGCGAGACTGCCAGAGTGCCCACATGTAGTCGAGTTGGGTATGGTGTAGCCAGAAGAGTGGATCATTAGGAGAGGAATAGATGTCTCTAATCTATGTTTTCGTGTTAGTCTGGGAGTATCGAATGGATTTATGAGAGTAGTGTGAGTGTGAAGTGGCCTAGGTGGGTAGATAGATCATAGAGAATGGCGAGCGGAGGGATACGTACATCGCCACCAACACCCATATGTCCTAGACCGTGCGGGTTGATACCTGCACTAGTGGGTATCTTATCCGCCTCATCGACAAAACTCAATCCGTCGATAAAGTTCTGGAGCTGATAATAATTTTTCGCCTGCATGGTCGGTGGGTAGATTTCATCCCAATTAGCACCCTTCTCGAACATATCGACATCAACAGCGCGCGTCAAGCAGCGTGGATTCTGTGCCATTGACTCGACAGGTCCGATATTCAGAGAATCATTTCCGGAGAACGGGCCCCTTTGGATGCAGCCCGATGGCTCGACACCATTGCCGCCGAAAGCCTCCAACACGGGTGAAGTCAGGATGGAACCGTTGCCGGTGGAAGCGTTGTCGAGAGTCCAGTCCCAATAAGGTTGTGCGCCAGTGTAATTGCATTCCGAGCGAAGCACAGATTCGAAGATCCAGATGGCGTAGCGGTGCCACGGGAGGAAGACACCAACCGTATGGACACCATAGAGCGTAATGTTGGCTGGAGACGGGATGATTAGTATGGCACTTGGTAACGCCTGTGTTTTGCGATGGTCACTTACGTAGTGGAAGATCTGGGTTGGTGATTGAAGGGGCATCTTGACCGCCTTACAAAGGCTATTAGCTGGCATTTAGGTAGGTGTATGGCTCATGGAACCAACCTCGTGTGGCGTTGATGTGTAGCGCGACGAAGTCGTCGTGCCTTGTCTTCAAAGTGCTGAATATTGCGGTGCCCTTGGAGGGCGCGCGTTTCAGGCACTTCACAGCATCTATGTAGGCATCTTGTTCGGAAGAGCTCAGCGTGCGCCTGGGGGACTGTCAGCAGAGGTCTCGATAAGACGTGTATCTTGAGATACATACCACTCTTTCCTGATGCGCGGTTTAGAGCAAGTACCTGCAGGCTGCTCAACGACAGGGAGCGCGCTGGTTAGGGAAGCAATCGTTAACGAGAGTAGAATGGATAGACGCATAATATGGGTTAGGAAAAAGAACGAGGGTGGTGTGAACGGGATTGCTACTGCAGATACACACTGCACCTATATAGCCTCGCTCCCGTACATATATACAATCGAAGTACAACATGTTTTAATGAACATCATGAAACAATGCTCGGCAGGTCTGCCTTGCAAATCTTATGTCACCGCCAGAGACTACGAGTCGTGCCTGGGTCGTGATTTCTTTGGCGTTGCTACAACTCATTTGTAGATCTGGGGACAGGCTCCTCTTAGTACTGATTCGCTGGATGGCACTGGCGTCGGCGTTGCTTGGTCTTGGTGATCTATTTTGACGGGTAGCATTGTTAACAGACGCGCGTTGCTAGTGGTGCAGCGCATTGGGCTCCCATGTTTCTCGCATCGTATAGAAAGTTAGCTATGCCTACACGAGCCCTCTAGAAATAATGTTTCCGTTTTGGGAAAGACTTGGCAAGCATTGATGTAACCGTTTCGGAGGTTTTCTAGGTTGTTGGCTTCCAAGGCCGAGGATAATTGGAGCTCTAGTTCAGGGGCGACGTTATGTGACTAGCCAAGACGTCCAAGCTCGCATGATTGCGGACCAGGTATATGACGGAACTGATCGGGCTGTGTAAACGGTGCGTAGAGGTTTGCAAGTACATGCGGTTGTGTAGATTTTCTATCAGAAGACATGCATTCTGGATGTGATTCCCTAATGAGCGCATGCGATGCGATGCGCGGCGGGTGAACCCTGCCAAGTCTCGTCTCATCAACCAATCGGGAGGGTCGGTGGTCGCGGAATTGTCACGTCGGCCTCTGTCAGTTCTCCAGAGCTCCCCACCTCTTTCCTTCCTTATCCCTCTCCCCCACCTTTTGCTTTTCCTATAAACTTCCCTATCTCTCGTCAAGGCCGACAATGCCATCCCTCATGGAGCTGCTGCCTTTGGCTGTGGCGTTCGCTGCCGTAATCGGCGGCTTTCTCTGGTACAGCAGCAACAGCGGTGGGAGCCGCAAGGTGCTAAAGCCGACTGAGTTCCAAGAATTCAAGCTTTCAGAGAAGACAGTCCTCTCGCATAACACCGCCATCTACCGCCTCGAACTTCCACGCCCTACCGACATCCTTGGCCTCCCCATTGGCCAGCACATTTCTCTTGCCGCTACTATCGAGGGTCAGCCGAAAGAAGTTGTACGCTCATACACACCCATCACATCCGACGAAGACAAGGGCCATGTCGACCTCCTCATCAAGTCATACCCCACCGGTAACATCTCCAAGCACGTCGCGGGCTTGAAGATCGGAGACACAATCAAAGTCAAGGGCCCCAAGGGCGCCATGGTCTACACACCCAACATGGTCAGGCACTTCGGTATGATTGCTGGTGGTACTGGTATTACGCCTATGCTACAAGTCGCCAAGGCTATCATGCGTGGACGCTCTACAGGTGACAAGACAGCCGTCGACCTCATTTTCGCCAACGTCAACCCCGAAGACATCCTACTCAAGGACGAGCTTGACGCGCTAGCGGCCAAGGATCCCAAGTTCAATGTCCACTACGTTCTGAACAACCCACCCGAGAACTGGACTGGTGGTACTGGCTTCGTCACTGCCGATATGATCAAGGAGAAGCTGCCAGCACCTGCCAACGACGTTAAGATCCTCATTTGTGGACCACCTCCTATGGTCGCGGCCATGAAGAAGGCGACTGAGAGTCTGGGCTACGCCAAGGCAAGGCCAGTCAGCAAGCTGGAAGACCAGGTCTTCTGCTTCTAGACGTCTGGGTTGTAACGTCGACAAAAGTATAATGTAGGATTCTACATACCCACGAATTGATGCTGGAACAATATACCAAATTATACTTCGAACAGGCCTCGTGTTTGAAATTGCTGCAAGTCCGATGCTTTGTAGAGATAGCCGTCTGCCGCGTCGGCTATGCTGATAGGATTACAAAACGTTGCCTCAGGCAAGTACGGTGGCCTTCGTAAGATATGCAGTATACGCTGATGCCTGGGACCTATCCGCTTGATCACACAGATCTCGTACCACTACTATAGTTTGACCGGTCGTTCACAGAAGATCGCTGTGGTGAAGTAGAAAAGCAATTCACCAATTATTATAAATATGTAAACTTCTCAAGCCCAATGCAACGTCCAAGAGGTATAAACGTCCAGAGGTGTATAATCCCGACCCGAAACGCCTTGCAAAAAAAAACAACAACAACAGAGGCGAGTAAGAACCGGACCCGGGGTATCAAGTCCATCAGTCCTATATAAACGCCCTGGACCTGATCACAACACGAATAGTCCTCTTCCGTTTAATACCGACACCGCCCACAGCACTATCTCCATCATCCCCAGCCTTACTCTCGTCATCCGTAATTTCCACATCCATCTCTTCAACATCATGCTCATGCGGGCTACCTGCGCCTTTCTTCCCACTAAGAGCCCGTGCCAGTGTATGAAATTCCTGCTCACCCAACTCCACTGTTCCAGTAACGACAGGACGTTGTGCAAAATGCTCACTATCAACAACTCTCGTTGCAAAGTCCTCTTCTTCTTCTAACGGCGGACTCAGCTTCATGATTGGATACCGGGACCTCCATGCACCCCTCCCCTCAGAGGCCCCATCTACTACAAAAAACCCTTCTGACCACTGACACGACGGAGACCAGAGCGTAGACTGCCGAACTTGCCCTTGTCATTTGGACCGACTTCGCCCATCTCGCCCATCAGCAAGCCGATTGAACTGCCTCGTCGCGAACGCGTTTCACCGCCTGCTTCACTGCCTGGTGCACGAGGAACGCCAAGGGCGCTGTGGCGCTGGGCGCCGAGGTTCTTCCATCCCTCCAGTTCACGCTCAAGGCGCAGGTTCTTTTCTCGTTCTTCGCGGAGTTCGCGCTCGGCACGCTTAGCGGCGAGTTGGTTCGTCGAGTCGGAGGATTGAAGATCGTCGATCGTGGCGAGGAGGTTGGAAATCTTGTCGCGTGACTTGTTGAGGTCGTCCATGACCTGGGCGTTTTGCTTGTCACGACGCTCGATTTGTGTTTGTAGGTCTTTTACCGTGCGGTCGACGTTTCGGACGCTACGAGATTCGGAGAGACGAGTGGATTCGCTGTTTTCGAGAGCTTGTTCGAGCTGGTGAGAGATGTTAGTGCTGAAAATTAAGAATTTAACATAGGGAGTGTCAACATACTTCTTGAATACGTCCATGGAGGAACCGGACGTCCTTGCCAGCTGATCCGCTGTAGCCCTTTGTCTCAAGATCTACTAGGCGAAGCTGTAGATCCTTCAGTCCCTTCTCAACAGCTGCCTTATCCTTGTGAAGCTTCACGTTCGCTTCACGTTCAGCTACGATATCCTTTTGCAGTTCTTGAGCAAGGGCCTCTGCGCGACGCATCTTGCCTACTGCAGCGGCAGTGATGTCCTCCTGTTGTGCCAAGCCGGACTTGAGCTCCAGTAAGTCACGATCGTAAGCAGCCGCATTACGCATGGCGGGAGATTCTGAGCGAGACAGTTCGTCGAGGGCGTCTGCAGCCTCTTGGAGACGCGATTCGAGACGCTTCTTCTCCTCGATGGCAGAATCGCGCTCAGCTGCAAGGTCGTCGACGTTGGTCCGCAGGTTACGGACTTGTGACAGCAGACTAACGATCTTGGACTGCGCTTCATTGTGCGCATTGGCGGCCTCGTCGCGCGAGTTGGAGATAGTTTGCAGCGTCATCTCAAGACGGCTCTTCTCCTTCGCCCAGGTTGACGAGTTGAGCAGTTCGTCATCCCACTTATTCCTCAACTCTTCAATCTCTTCCCGTAGTCGACCATTCTCTTCGCGTACGTGAATGACATTCTCGCGCTCTTGGTCGATTTCCTGGGTAAGAGATGCCAACTCGGACTGGTACTTCTTTCGTGTCTGCTCCAGCGAAGTTTCGCTGTCCTCAACATCATGAGCGTGCTGACTTCTGTAATCTTCAAGCTCATTCTGTAGTCGTTTCTTGGCTTGCAGGGCTGTCTCCAAGTCTGTCGAGAGGTCTTCAACACGTTCGTCGTACCGCTGGACTGTTCGCTGCAGGTCCTCGACCATGCCGTCCATCTCCTTTCGCTCAGCCATGATCGTTGCACACGTTTCTTCAGCTTCCCGAGCTTGCGACTTTGCAAATTGCTCTGCACGGGATGCTCTCAGTACGGAAATCTCTGCTTGTTCCAACTTGCTGAAGTAGTCGTCGGCCCTGCTCTTGTACAAGTTTAAGCTTGACTGTACATCAACTAAGGCCGATGTCTCGTTGTCCAATCGGATCTGGAGATCGGCAAATTCTTGGAGAAGCTGATTGTGATTTGCGTGCTCTAGCTCTCGTTCCTGAGTGATGTCTTCGAGCTCGGCATGCATCTCGCGAAGTTCAGACTCCAATGAGAGCTTGGCCTGCTTGATGTCGTCAAAGGCGGTCTTGGCGTCGGCGAGTTCGTTGATAGCGGTGTTGTGGGCTTGTACGACCGATTTACGTGACTGCTCTTGCGCGGTCAAGAGATCGAAAAGTTGCTCGTGGGACTTCGTCTGAACCTCTTGGTACGAGAGTTGACCAGAATGAAGGCTACGCTCAAGTGAGGTAACCTTGGTGGCAGAATCATCCAGCATATCGTGTAGACGGTAGTTCTCACGCTCCAACTTCTGCACCCTTCTGACAGACGGGCTGTCTTCCTGCCAATCGTTGTTGCGCACGGGCGAGCGTCCAAGCTGGTCTTGAAGGTGTTTGTTTTGCATTTCTGACATCTGCAACTGGTTTTGTACCAACTCGAGCTCGGCAGCGATGTCCATACGGTTGTTGAAAGCGACAGTATCAACTGTCCTATCGGAACGTGCGGAATCGTTCGTCGCATTGCTGATGTGGCGCTGGTTTTGGGGAGTATTTGTGATCGAGAATGGACGCTTGTTCTCGCTGTCTTTCCGGTTGTGTGTAGGTGTTCCGCGTTGATTGACTTGGTTGCCGTTCATCTCCTCCAACAGTGCACGCTTTGAGTTGGTGTGGCGTGTATCCAGGTCATGAAGCTCGCCCTCGTGCCTTTCTCGGAGCTCTTCGAGTTGAGCCTCGGCACGGGAGTATCGCTCTGATGCTACACGCAAGGCTTGGTTAGCAGCCTCGAGACGCTCAGCAATGTCCACGGTCTTCACAATGTCAGGCTTAGCGGCTTCGTAAGTAATCGCAACATCTGCCGAGTCTGGGTCAAAGACCTTGCGAAGAAGCATAAGCTGTCGATGGCATTCCTCCAACTCAGTGTTTGTGTTGTCAAGCGTTGCTTGAATAGCACGTGCACTGGCTTGAGCTTGTGTACGCAACTGGCGCTCGGTCTCAAGCTGACGGTTGACATCTGCCAGTTGTAGATTGATGGTGGACGAGGCCTGCTCCGCATTGCGGCTTGTCTTGTGCTCCCTTGCAAGTTCGTGGTTGAGGTCTTCAAGACTGAGCGACAACTTCTCTTTCTGCTTTTCCAAAGACGCAATCGTGAGCTGCGAGTCTTCGAGCTGACGGAAGAGGCGCTTGTTCTCTTCCTCGGCTTTAGACTTCTCGTGAGTCAACTGAGTGAGTTTTACACGATGTGTGTCACTAGCTCGGGAGTTTGTTCGCGCGATGTCCAAGTTCTTTTGTTGCAGCTTGTTGAGAAGTGCCCGGTTGTCGTTCTCGGATGCCGTGAGTCTTCCTTTGATGGTGACAATCTCACGTTCTAGGCGCTCTTTTTGCTGATCATTGCGCTCCTTGAACGAGTCTGAGTCGGCGAGCATCTGCGTCAAGTTGTGAACTTGCTCAGCTAGGTCATCACGCTCCGCCTCAAGTTGATCAAGCTGTTGATCCTTTGCCTCCAGCTCAAGTTGTTGTACGGCTTGTCGCTCTGTAGCCAGTTTTGACTGCGCACGTTCTGCTTGAGCATCAGCGTCCAGCTTCTCTTCCTCCAACTTCAGGTACTTTTCACGAAGGGTGCGAAGTTCAGTCTGATACTCCTTGCGCTCCTTCTCATGGGCTGTGCGACTCTCCGTAGCTCGTCGAAGAACGTCCTGCTGGGCGTACATCTCTTTCTCAATGGTGATCTTCGATTCGTTCAACGCATCGTAGTCACGCTTGAGCGTGTCGTATTTGTGCTCCCCGAGCATCTCGACATCGTCACGCGATTGCCTTTCCCGACTGAGCTCCTTTTGTACGGCAAAAAGCTCGGCCTTGAGAGCGTTCGTTTGCTCTTCCAGCAGTTTCCGGCTTTCTGTGTATTCGTTGTCCTCGGAAATCTTTTCCTCGAGTAGGCGTTTTGCGTCTGCAGCCTCGCGTTCCAATTGTTGCTTTTGGGAGCGCACGGCATCCAGCTCAGCCTTCGCATCTCGAAGGCGGCTTTGAAGATCGTCATGCTTGGACGCCAGGGTTCGCTTCTCATCGTCAAACAACCGGCGGTCATTTTCATAGTTCTTGAGGTCGGTCTTTAGGATCGCCAGCTCGCTCTCTTTCCGTCTGATGAGATCTTCGTAACTGGTAGACGTCGAGGACAAATCTGTTATCTGTTGACGGATCTGCCGGTTCTCGTCGAGAAGTTCTTTGATCTGGTTCTTGCCGGCCTGTACCTCCTTCTGGGAAGCCGCCAACTTAATGTCAAGGTCTTGATCTGTCTTGAGGAGCTTAGCTTGAAGGTCCTCAAGTTTCCGTTCTTTCAAGCTCAGGTGGCTCGTGAGCATCTTGATCTCCTGGCTCAATGATTCCTCGGCCTGACTTCGCTGAGAATGCTGAACTTCAAGCTCCTTGAGTTGCTGGTCTAGCCGGGCGTTCTGCTCCTCTAGCTCCTGTGTTTCTGTCTCAAGTTTGCTGATGATCTGCCCAGCTTGTTCGAGCTCTTTGCGCAAATGCTCAGCCTCCTCCTCAGTCCTCTTCTTTGCTTCCATGAGAGCGTCCAACTGATCTTCGAGTTCGTCTTGATCTTCGATAGCACCAGCAAGCTTCTCAGAGAGTTCAGTTTCACGAAGTTGGAGACGCTTGAAGATCTCTTCCTTGTCCAACGCAAGCGCACGTTCGCTCTCGAGCGTCTGCTGAATGCGTTGGATATCCATTTCTGCGCGTCTTCGCTCGTCTTCGACCCGTTGTCTCTCTTCAGCTTCTTGTTGCATTTTCGCCTCGAGTTGGTGGATCATCTCATCGCGCTTCTTGACCTCTGCTGCTTGACGTGTGGCTCCAAGCATGGGCCTCATTCGAGCGTAAAGCCTCCACCATGGGTTCGATTGTAGATCAAGGTAGACCTGAAAGTTACGCTGGATGATGCGAGTGGCTTCGGCTCGATAAAGACGCTTGTTGGCCAGGCGGCGTTGAACAAATCCGCGAGCTACGGACTGGAAACGGATCATAATATCCCGGATGAGTGCATCACGTTGATCTTCCAGCTCGGCAAGAACACCAGCCCGGAAGAAGACCTTGGTGATTCCGACACGGTACAGCGACCTGTCAAGGTTGATCTTTTCGAGGATCATGCTCGCCGCCACTTGCCCTTCGATATAGCCTTTGGGGAGATCTCTACAAAGCACCTCGTATCTTTGGCGGAACTCCACGAAAGGAAGTCGGTTGGGAAAGCCGGTACGTGCGATACGAATACCTTCCAGGACACCGTTGCATCGTAGTTGGTCAAGAACAAGAGGAGCGCTAAACTGCTTTGGCCGTTTCTTGTGATTTGGGAGAATGCATCGGACGAAATGGGGGTGCGTGGAATGGAGCTGGGTCATCAACGTTGACAGATGCTCTTTGTGGCGCTGAGCGACAGTACGGAAGAGGCCCTTCTTGACGCGGCTGCGGGTTCCGCCCATGCCATCGTCCGGATCAGCACAATCCACAAAGAGGTTGGCGATTTGCTTGTCAGTAGAACTAGCCAAGAGACGCGTGACGTTGTCATTCAATGGGTCCTTATTCTTTTCTAGCCAGTTTTCTGTAGAGTACTCTACTTCGGCAGCGTAATGTGTAAGAACGAAACCTTGGGTCAGCATTGAGCGCTTGTACTTGGTGCTCTTGCGGTCCCATAGTGAATGCAGCTTCTCTGTAAAGCTCTTGTCGGTCGCTTTGGGCATAACACTGTCCTCGTCCAGGCAGGAGAAGATACCAATGGGGTTTGGTAACTCAATCAGGTCGATTGTCGGCT